CCAGATTTCAACAACATCATCATCCATTTCAGGAAGAGCTTCTCTAAAAAAAAATCAAAAATCAAAAATTTTACAGTGTCTGTGAGAAGTAAAGACTAAAAGAAGGAAGTCATTACTATTATTTAAATGAGTGGCTGTGGAAAGAGAAGAAAACACCAAAAGAAGTAAGTCATTACTATTAATTTAGTGAGTGTTATATGAACCAAACCTAAGCCAAAAGGTTTGAAATCGAACTTCAATACATTTTGTTATCTCTACTATTTTTGCATTTGTTTATCTAGTGTTCTTTTTGTTTCATTATAANAATGTCATTTTTAAATCCAAATTGGATTTCAACATATCAATGATTTTATTGTCTAGAACTAAAACTTCAAATGTTCCTACTTTTTAATGGAGCAAACTTCAAATCTTAAATTTTTTATGTCCACTTCGAATAAAACATCAATTTAAGAAATACACCATTTTTTTCTCTTGTTTGGTCAGAAGAAAAAANAAATACTCAATTTTAGTGTACACAATTTAGTAAATACACAAGTGGTGATAAAAAAATGTTCTTATTTCCAGTCCAACAACTGTTATTTGTTTTCTTTCTAACTCTTTATCTAAACCCATTGACATAATTACATAATTAGTGATACACATGATTATTCTTTTAATTTTTATTTTTTTTTATCGAAGTTATACTTTAAATTATAAAACACTTTTACAATAATGTCGGAGGCAGTCATTGTAATAACCCTGGTAAAGTCAAGGTCAACAACCTAAGAAAGTCAACGGTTTGGCTTCGAGTGATTTCAGTTTGGAAAGGATTGGGGAAGTTCTTAGAAGAATGTTGGTCAAAGAAAATCCAAATTTCATCGAGTGAATCCAGAGTTAGGAAGAAAATAGTCCACAGGAAGAACAGTCGCGTCGCGGGTCGAAGGAATCGAGTCGCGGTAAGTCTGTCGTGTCGCGGGAAAGAAAGTGTCGAGTCATGGGTAAGTTGTGCCGTGTCGCGGGAAAGAAAGTGTCAAGTAGCGGGTAAGTTGTGCCATGTCGCGGGAAGGGAAGTATCGAGTCGTAGGATGGAAATTATCGAGTCGCGTGAAGGTTCAGACAAGCGTGGGTAAGTGACAAAAACATTTCGCCACTCGTTTCTTACCTAGGGGTAGCGCTTTGTTTATTCTGTGGCGAACAACGAGAAGCATGGGTAGCGCACATACCAAGGGGAGCGTGGGTCGGAGACAGCGTGCTGTCCGGTCGTGCCGCGTGACCCACGGGTAACAGAAAACCTCCGCCACGTGGCCAGCGATCGATGGGTAGCAAATTCAGCGAGGAATCGGATTTTCGCCTATAAATACTACCCCCACCCATTTATTTTCGACACAAAACCCATTTTTCTTACCCTTACTCTGCCCAAATCTCTCTAGAACCAAAGTTAGGCATTTTGCCCACCGTAGGTCTGATTCCACTAGAGTCGGTAAGGTTTCTTAGTTCCGAATGTTTCCTAGTTCGTTCGTGTTTCCTTCGTGGTCTGAATAGAATTTCGTGTAGATTCCGAGCTGTTCGAGGGCTAGAGGAATCCGCGACCTTGCTAGAGCTCAATCTTCCACCACGAAACTCAAAGGTGAGGATGGATCCGGGTGTTGATGAGTCGAACACCCGTAGATCGTTTCCCTTCTCGTTTTGATTTTTCTTGTTAATACATCGGGTTGCATGCGCTCGTTTCCTTAGAATTTTCATATAAGCACGTTTGATTTGCATGCATTCACCCGTTGTGATGAGATGACTGCTTGGTAAAATTGCTAGAAAATAGTTAAGTATTTTTCCTTAAATTTTCTATGCATGCATGTATAATTTTACTCCGCTAGCACTTGAGAGAAATAGGCCCGAGTTTTTCTAAAATTGCTAGGGAATTGTTTAGACGTTTTCCTTAATTTTTCGGTGCATGCATGTTTGATTCCAATCCGCTAGTACCGAGTTTTTCTAAAATTGCTAGGGAATTGTTTAGACGTTTTCCTTAAATTTTCCGTGCATACATGCTCGATTCTACTTCGCTAGCACTCGAGAAAATAGGCACGAGTTCTCCGAAAATTGCTAGAAAATTGTTAAGTATTTTTCCTTAAATTTTCTATGCATGCATGCCTAATTTTATTTCGTTAGTACTTGGGAAAAATAGGCACGAGCCTTTTAGAATTTTCTAGGAAATATGTCAAAACGGTTTGCATGTTTAGTTGAAATATCGGGTGAGGTTCTTAGTAATTTTCTGTGCAATTGACTAAGTATAAGTATAATATTGATTGCATGTTGAGTGATTTGGGTGCTAATATTATTCGGTTATATGACTTGGTAATTACCTTATATTGAATAATTGGTAATGTTAGATGCAAGTCAAATCGGTAGACGTTAGTGAAACCCGGAAAAATTGTGTGTTAACGATTTATGTATGTTGCGTTTTTGCTAGATCGCTAATTAACCGTATCGCTTGTTTATTAAGTATCTCGTTGTCGCTTGTTGATACTTAGTCGTGATGTGAATGATGATTGAGGAACGGTTAATGTCAAGTGATTGCATGTATGTCTACGCATCCGTTAGTCTTGTTTAGTTCTGCTATGAGGGTGCACAAGTGATGTGATGAGGGTGCACGAAGTAATGTATTGTGCGATGAGTCAGATACATTATGTGATGAGTGATAGCATGTAAGTCGTAGAGCATACTCGTGAGTAAGTTGTGAGGTGGTTCGACATTCCCGGAAATACGGGTTAACGGCACGTTGAGGTGCTATGGGCTAACCACGTAAGCGCGGATGGTACTGGGGTAGCTCCCTTGGCCGTGCGGGCATGACAGTGCTGGAGTTCCGCAGTGTGGAATTGGAATGCGTGTGCCTTTGTGGTTACAATTCCATGGGGTTCCCGGGAATGGACGACGGAACCGCAAGGCCTTGATGATGAGATTATAATCCGGAATTCCATGTAGGAAATGCATTGTAGAGAGTCTAAGTGATTGTATATTTACGTTGATAAACGTTATGCTAGTTGATTGTCTGTTGCTGCTTGATTGTGTTGATAACGTCCTGTTAACTTGCTTGATTCTCTGGGGAAACATGGGTGGGCTTGTTATTGAACCGTATAGGAGATCCTAATTCACTGAGTAATTCCAAATTATTCATTCCCTATCTATTTGTTGCAGGTAACCATAAACGGGAAATCATTAGTAAGGGGTGTTGGACGATAGGGTCATCAGACTTAGGCGGTTTTTGGGTGTCTTGCAAAATGATAGTTTTTATTATATAAGTTTTGAGCCTCAGATCCGAAAACACTATAAATATTTTACAACGGTTTTCCGCTAAAAATTATATTAAGTATAGACAAGTGTTTCCAAAAAATTATCAAGTGATAATGATGCAAGGTCCTGTCCGGGCCGAACTAACCGTCTGGTCTAATACGGGATGGCAAGCCTTAGGTCGGTCCATATGGGAAGGGCACTCTCGGATAGTCGGACCGAAATGCTTAATGAGTTTTTGGGAATTGGTCTGTCCGTTCTTGAGTGTTGCGGTAGCGCTCCCTTGCGGTGAGATTTCACTGTATGATCGGAGGCGTTACAAGGCAATATTTAGGTGGTATCAAAGCACGACTTTCTAACATGCGTAACACTTGAGTTTTTGATGATTTTTTGTATTAGAAATGAGTCGCAAGAACACCAATGTCTGATTCGTCCAATGCATTAGGTAGAGGGATTTTTCTTTTCTTTTAGGAACTCACCCTTTTTGTTGGTTCAAGATCAGGATGCCGCCGAGGAGACTCATGAGGGGTGGGCTTCGGCTAGTAGTAGTGGATCCGTCAGATAGTGAGGATTTGTGTCGGGTGAGATAGCCGGGATCATGATGGAGGATTCCGGTAGTTCGAGGTAGACTGGGCAGTCGGGTGTGGTGAACCGCACGTTTGTGCCTATCGAGCCAGTGGATTTGGAGTATGAGCCAAAAGAAGACCCAGAGGAGGATCCGGAGGAAGACCCGGAGGAACCCACAGAGGTGGAACGGGAACCAGACGAGCCTCGATTTAATCTGATGCATCACGGATTGGGGGCATACGGAGTTGAACGAAAGGTGAACCTTGAAGCGGAACATGAGGAAGATTACATGGAGGATCCAGATTCAGATGTTCGTGCGTTCGTGCCACCATCGCTGTCTGTCATGGCACCAAACTCTCCATTGATCATCGAGATCTCTTCAGATAGTCCTGCCCAAGTGGAGTCCCTGATTCTGATGCCTCCGCTTCCCGGTCAGCGTGTGCCCACACTCGCTGACTTATCACCGTATCATCAGGAGAAACTCAAAGAGACAACTCAGAGCATTAGTGAGTACTGGAATGCGTACTGGGGAGTGGACGTACCGAAGACTGAGAGTCCGTTGCACACATAAGCCCCTAGGTCGGTTGTTTCGAGTGGGATAGGAACTGGAGTGACCGACATGTCACTGGGAGAAGATAGTCTTAGCATCAGGGCACCCGTTGGCGCCACGACGTAACCAATGGCTACAGGATGGCGCCACCAAGACAGCAAGGTGCGAAACTGGGGACTGAACCAGCGAGGATGAGAGGGCATGTGAGCGGGTCTAGCTCGGAGGAGCTTAGGCGGCTGTGGAGAGAGAGGGGATTCATTAACATTGAGACACAGTTGTACACTACGGGGTTTCATGAGGGAGAGGTTTTCCGAGGATCGAGCGACGAGTTCTTCCTTGGATCGGCTGAGCATAGTTGATACTACCTGCGCGTATCTGGACTGCCATCGCCTTCTAGTCGGAGTGTTGGCTCTGTGGATGGTACGTGTAATAACCTGATAAAGTCAACGGTCAATGGTCAACGAACCACAAAAGTCAACGGTTTGGCCTCGAATGATTTCAGTTGGGAAAGGATTGGGAAAGTCCTTAGAAGAATTTTGGTCCAAGAAAATCCAAATTCCATCGAGTGAATCGAGAATTAGGAGGAAAATAGTCCATGGGAAAGTCTGTCGTGTCGCGGGAAAGAAAGTGTCAAGTCGCGGGTAAGGAAGCGTCGCATCGAGGGAAAGAAAGTGTCGTATCGCGGGTAAGGAAGTGTCGCGTCTTGGGATGGAAATTATCGGGTCGCAGAAGGTTCAGACAGGCGTGGGTAAGTGGCGGAAATATTTTGCCACGTGTTTCTTACCCACGGATAGCGCTTTGTTTATTCTGTGGCGTGCAACGAGAGTATGGGCAACGCGCAGACCAAGGGGAAACGGGTTGTCGGGTCGCAACAAGGGCTCGCGGGTAACAGATTTTTAGCGCCACGTGTTCAGCGATCGGTGGGTAACGATTTTATCGAAGAACTCGGATTTTCACCTATAAATACTACCCCTTCCCATTATTTTTCGACACAAAAACCGTTTCTCTTACCCTTACGCTGCCAAAATCACTAGAAAATATTTCCTTAGAGAATTCGTGATTTTTGCTCGGATAGCGATCGTTTTCTCTCGTAGATTCAAGGTAAGTTCTAGAGTTTTCCGTTGGTTTAAGCTTAAGACCCGTTTATTCCCTAGTCGTTGAGTTGGTTTAAGCTTCAAGGGATCGTGTCATCCGAGCTTTAGGATCAATCGTTGGGAAGGATCGAGCCTTAGTAAACCTCCGTCGAAAAACTGTGAGTCCCGGTAAAATTGTGTGCTAACGTTTTGATGGATGAGATGTTGCATGCAAGTGTGAATCCAAGTGTGTGGATCACATGAATGGTTGTTTGGAACGGATTGATGCATGCTGGTGAAGATTCGAGTGTGCGGATCACATGCATAGCCGTAGGAAACAGACCGAAGCATGCAAGTGTGCATTCGAGTGTGCAGATTGCATGCATGGCCGGTTGGGACGAAACGATGCTTTTTTGTATGGATCCGGCGAGTGGATCACATGCATGTTGGTTTCAAACCAACTGGAGGTTCATAGTGAAATTTGTGAGAATTTTACTAAGTGTGAAAATTGTGGAAATTTTTCTAAGTAAGTAATGTGATTAATTTTGTTGAGTGTTGTTTGCTTGTTTATGTGAATGATTTGATATGTGCATAATATCATTTCAATTCGCATATATATAAGTGATGAGATGCGAGGCGGTTCGACGTTCCCAGAAAGATGGGTTAACGGCACGTTGAGGTGCTATGGGCTAACCACGTAAGCGCGGATGGTACTAGGATAGCTCCCTTGGCCGTGCTGACATGACGGTGCCAGAGTTTCGCGGTGTGGAACTGGGATGCATGTGCCTTTGTGGTTACAATTCCATGGGGTTTCCGGGAATGGGTGACGGAACCGCAAGGCCTTAATGATGAGATTATAATCCGGATTTGCATGCATGTAGTTTAATGTCGTTGCTTGTGATTGCAACTCTTTGAATGCTTCCGCGTATTCATATTGATTGTGTGTGATTGTTGATTTTTGGG